AATCCACCTATGAACTGTGTTTATATCAGGACAATATGGAGGGAAAGTTGGAGGTTGTCGGGCTCTCTGCACTGGGTAGGACTCATCTGCCTCAGCTAAATCGGACAACCTATATGATATCACGACCAGCGCATCAACAGTGAACAAAGAAAATGCTGTTTTACTTTAGGAGGGACGTTCTTTCATCACCTCCCTCATCGACACTGAGGCGGAAGTAACTGCCGTCCTCGTCAGTGGACTCGACAAGCTATCAGATACCACGTGCAACCTATGTGCTGCCAACATTTTGACGATCACCTTTTACAGACAACGCATAATAAACCCGGATGTGACTAACCACCGAGACCCTCGAAGGATCCTCCAGGTTGCGCCTGTACTCTTCCCAAATATTCGCACCAATTTTCTTCGAGATTTTGCAATTTCTGTTGATGCGGGTGTTCACGCTGTTAGCCGATCGTAACAAGCTAGGAGTTTAGAGCTTCCTTTCAACGGCTTCGATAATCAGACTTATTATGAATGCCACCGAAGCACCTTCGGACTACGTGAACCTGCTCTCCAAGTACCAGTGGCTACTGCGATCAGCTGACGAGCTTCCGCCAATCCCGACAGAGGTCGCTCATCACAAACCCTTGCATAGCCATCCGGTGAGTATCCGATCTATACGTCTGGCGTCAAACAAGCCAATGGCCACACGATCTGCATTGCACTGCATGTTTCAGCTGGGTACAGTCAATCTATATGCGTCACCTCACCACGTGAACCAGAAGAAAGCCAAGGGGAAATAGCATACTTTTGGCGACCACACTGTCTTGAACAGTTACCACACCCGATCGGTATCCGATCCCAAAAATCGCTGTTCTCGCGGACTACCAGATCAGGAAACCAAGGTCGATATCCCTAAAACGGCAGTAACGAACTCGTTTGGTTTGTTCGAGTTTACGTGTGTACCGTTTGGTCTTAAAATTGCCCCACAAAGTCTTCAGCGCTTAATCGACCAAGCTCGTCGCGGCCTTGTTTTCACCTATGCTCATCTCAACGGCAGCTTGAGTTCCAACACCTCCAGCGAAAAGTAGTTGTTCCAAGTTCCGATACCTTCGGACGGTCTATCCCAACATGGATTGGCGACCAACGCAGGAAAAGGTCCAATCGCTGTTGATTCGGTTAACTTAGTCATCATATCTTCATTGCAGCCGTCATGCCACCACACGATAAGCTTAAAGCTATCACAGATTACCCTGCGCCTCATTTGTTCAATCCCAGACGTTTTGAATGCCATATTAACATTTACCACCGCTTCATACATAAATGTGCGTTGCTTATGCAATCCCTCGCAAATCTCCACAAGAGGCATTAAAAATTTGAATTTTCAGCAACATCATGCCTTACGTGGAAATCGTCAAGGAGCTATCGCTAACATAGCTTCGACTGCCCAAGGACTCCATTGCCCCACTGTCGTTCAGCTTCGACACCTTAGCTGTAAAAACGGACGATGTTTTGTAGCAACGAAAAAGAATCACCCACAGTACGCCGGCACACTGTACCGACGCTTGGTTGCCACGCGACCACCGCCGATCGCGCGTGGGCTGAGTATACCGCGAGAACATCCGCCCACACACGGATTCTTATCGGTGGCCTAAGGATTTCAGGCTAGGTGTGCAATACTTTCGGGCACCGGTCGACTTTGTAGCAACCGGTGGGTGTCATACGACAACCTTTAAGCTTTTCCGCTCAAAAGTTGAAGCCTGGCAAATCTCGTTACAGCACATTCGGTGGGGAAAGGTTAACCACTTACTTAACCGTATCACACTTTCGACATGTATTATAAGGTCGCAGATTTGCCATCTGTAAGGATTACAAGCCCTTAATATACGTAATTGGCTCAAAAACCGACAGCTACACTTCTATCAGCTCATGCTACCTGGACTTTACGACCGACACAATTGTCGCAGATGTGCACAGTACTGTCGCAGAACGCACTTTCTCGGTTCCAAGCTATCTCCACTGACACCAGCAATGCTATGGCCACTGTAAAAACTAATGCTTCTAAGATTGGTATGTTACATAGATCTTTCTCACTGACATATGACCCTTGTCGTTGATATCATCAGACGGAAGTAGCCAACGCAACACCGCAGTGGGCGCATAGCACCCAATCGTGCAATATACGAGCGAAAGTTTCACAATCCACTGCGGTGGCCAACAAGAAGTTGTCACCGTCGACTACTTGAAGACAACCTTCATGGACTAGGCCGCATCGCTTTCATGATCTCGCAGTGTTTCGTGCGGCATTCCAACTAACCGAGCCACGGCTTAACCGCATATCAGTCCTGAAGCGGACACCGGTTCCGATTCACAGTCTACAGCCGTCTTGACATCACCGTCTGCCACTAACCTGCCGCCTCCCAAAACCAAGTACAGTAGTCAAGAGGTTAGTAGACCCATTCGTTTTCCCGACTGTCCAGCTTGCGAATATGCTCACACCTGTATATAATGTATGTAATCATCTCGGTTTTAATTGACACATGTGAGAAACAAGAGAATCAGAAGCCAAAAAAAGAAAAAGATTACATGCAGTTTATATGCGGTTGACATTTTTGCGATATCTCTACGTGTGCTGTTTTTCTGCCCTTACATGCCCCAACCGTCCAGCCGGATCGATTGGCCCTCATGAATTCGTTTGCGGATTACCACATTGAACGATGGTTCAAACGCGAAAGCTGGAAGTACATCGTGGGAAAAGGGTCGTCTGACATGAGGCTAGAGAGACCGCTCCCAAGCGCACCGTTTGGAAGAAGCGGAGGTTGAGGTCAGGTCAGCCATTCTTATGGACTGGAGATATTTTTTTACACTCTAACAAGCCATTCCGACAGCTTGTTGTGATAGACCCCGTACTGCAGCAAGTAGTCACACAATGAAACAGCACACACTGGACCCCGACAACTGATAAATCCCGTTCCTACCTGATCATTCCCATTCACTTTTACGAGACATGGTGTTGCTGTTTGGACTTCGATTCACACGCCAGATTGCAATCGGCTTCATTTGTTCAGCATTCTAGAAGGGAGTTCTGTGGCGGCCCAAACGATACACGTAGCTTTACAACTCAGTTTTACGTAATGTATCCTGATTTCACTACTATGTACCCCTTCTCTATATCCGCCTGCATCCGTGTTAAAATTTGTTTGCTCCGTGAGTTACTGTGCTAATGATCTCTCCTGTTTGCTTCATCTGTTTACGTCGCCTTGTGGCCCTTTCGAATATACTCCGTTGTAGTTCACTCTGCCCGTCTTCCAATAATGATATTCGATTACGTGTCTTCGTCAGTAACGGTATTGACCAGTCCTACAGACTAGATGCGTACTAATCCTCAAACGCACTGGTCCTGGTCGCGCTTCTAGTAGCCATAACCGGTTTGCAGAAGGGGATTCACTCAACCACTAATTGGGCGCTTGGCTGATCGATAAAACAGCCTAATTCCATCGTATATGGAAAATAGGTGGCATTAATTATATAACTAAGTTGACGCTTTTGAAACTTTAATGAGTTGCATCTTGTTAACCAGAAACAATTGCCCTAGCTCATAGTTTTGTGTAAACATTCGTTAAATCGAGCAGTTCCCTGTCATAGATGGTCAAATCCCGTTGGGTAAATATTTACATTGGCAAACCGATCGGATATCCGAGGGAAAGGCAGCGGCTAGTCTTAGCATCTCTGGTCTCTCCTCCTGTACCTCCGTGAAATTTGGACTTACCGAATCGAAGCATGAAGAAAGCAGCAATGTTAGCACAGGGAAACGTCGCTACCAATAGACCTACGAAGCTAAGCCAGCCCAAGTGATTAGGGATCTGTAAAAGTTCCCGTGCTATGGAAAAAAGTGAACAAATCAACCTACATCTCCAGTTGCATACCACTAAAGCCTAACAAACAGTCGTTGGCCTTCTTATCGATGTGCTCAACGCCCATGAAACTACGGGACGATAACAGCAGAACTTCTAATCGTCTGTAAAAATGGATCTTTCAGACAAAAGATTGCATTTTCCAATAACCAGTGAAACTTTTCAAAAAGGGAAAACTCGTTATCCCAGAGCATAGCTGCCAGTTTATGTTGGCCCCCTGATGTACGGCGAATCATTATAGTGAAGCGTAAAAGATAGTGGATAAACACTACAGACTTGCAGAAAAATAATGGTCATGAGTAGAAAAAAACACGAATACGATTGTTGTGGAGAAAATAACCTGAGAGTGGGAATAGATAGGAAAAGCCAGCTGAAGGTGTTTGAGAGAATGAAATGCAGAAAAGTAGCAGTATACGGAAGTGTTGTTAAACAATAATCCACAAACTTCCTAGAAGTGGACGGTGAAGCAGGTCACCTGTCCGAAGGTCAGCCAATGACGAGGAACACAACTGTACAGAGACATATACACAATCCTCACGATCTGCCCCATTTTCAAAGCTTAGGAAATTTGTCAGAACAATGGAACTGGGCCGCTCAATGAATATAGTTCATTGCATTGAAACGGTGACCAATTGGTGAGTAGACAGGGTGGTGAGAATATCAAATGTAGACGATACCATCACGTCGAAATTGGGTCTTGAGTTTCGCGTCCTGATGTATATGGGGCTCAATGTATGTACCTGAGGATGCTACTCTGTGAATGATCACTGGAAAACGTACAAGTGGCTAAGATGAGAAGAGCAGAGGAGCGTACTTCTCACTAAGCCGATCTACCTGAGAGGCACAGAACTGAACAGCGCTCAGGGGGATGCACAGTGAAGGGACGATGCATCACACAATTCGAAAAAAATAAAAAATAAACTTGTCAGGTTGTAGCCTTGGAACCAGCGGTGGCTATGGTGGATATCGAGATATTAGCGGAACAAGTGCAGTATTCATCAGATGAGGGAGGATCGCAGTAATGTTATACGATGCCATAGAGCTGAGTAAATGTTAAATAGTGAGTGCACTTGTGTAGGCAAATTTACGCTTTCACAGACTAATTCACTCACAGACGCGCAGGGACCAATCTGGTTTGATAACAAAAAGACTTGATTTGTCCAGTGAATCCAGATCGGATAATGGGGAATGTTGACTGTATCCTGTGGCACCGTCACCGGTGTTGATCAAGTGACGCATATCAACAGATTTAAGACCATCCAGCACCGGCTCATTCGCGTAACGGGAATACGATGGAATTTGTTCAGTGAGGTATGTGACAGCTGTGGTTCGTTGCTTGCGATGAGTGAGCTGGGGGCAATGATCCAAACTCGTCAACATATCGTCTATGTCGATGAGAGGGGCCGTCTCCGTCGAGTACGAACGATCGTGGGGCATGGCCGCTGAATGACCCGCTTCAACTAGCTCCTGAGAAGCACTCTCAACAGAACCATTCCGTGGCTCACTTTCGCTGTTTTGTGTATCATAATCATCCATAGAATCCTCATTCTCGGCAAAGGTTCCCGGAAGAAAAGTTGTAATGTCAATAGAACGCATCATGGCGTCGAAACTGCTGTCAAAATTATCTTCATTGGCCATGGGGAAGTCAGTGTCGTCCGTAGCTGTGTTCGGTCCTATATCGGATTGCCTCATTTCTGACTGTGCCGCACCTGGGAACGACTGGATAATGTCTACCGCCAGTGGAGCCATTGATGGATTGCATGCAGCTTTGACAAACTCTCGATTTTGTCCCACTGTTCCACGCATCTCTTCGCTTTCTCTGCCCATCGGTGGAGATGACCAAGCAGCGCAGGAATTTCCAACATTTCCCATGGTTGTTTGGTGTATGTTGCATTCTAAGTACTCTAGACCTTGCTGCCGAAATTCCATTGTGGACTGACCAGTATCTATTTCAAATTGGTTGGCCGCGTCCAGGCCAGAGTATTCTGATGTCGAATCGGAGGACTCCGGCTGAAAAGTCGTGTCTTCCACCTTGGAGTATGCGGAATAGAATGAAGGAAAATCTTCCACTTTACATTTGACCTCGGGTTCAGCGACTGTTACGTTCATATGCGAGAGCGGTAGGAATACGTCGCCAGACAATGGAGACCACGATGAAGTGGGTGAGGAACCGGATGAATACGGTGTAGGAGAATAGTCGGCCGAACTAGTCGCAGGCGTGTACGGCTCCTCACGTTTGTTTGAGACATGGATGCTCTTTGCGGGTCGTAACGTGTGAATTTTTTGACTGTCCGCTATAGTGGGTGGCTTCGTAGCATGGGTATGTAAAATTCGTCGATGAGTCATTTGTTGTTGCAACCCTGAAGAGTTAGACGTAGTCAACTGAGTCACGTCACCTAGAGTTTGAATAATGGTCGTTCCCGGTGGCAAAGCTAACAGCACTTCTTCAGAAGAACCGTTAGTGTCGGGACCCAATCGAACATAAACCGGGGCCACCAGACGATGCACACGGTGTGTTTCTAATTCGGAAACTTGTGTTGGGTCTAGCACTTGTCCGGAGTGTGTGGGAGCCTCAAAGACAAGAATCTGCTGATCCGAAAATGAACTTCTATTTAGGGCGAGATTACATGATCCACTCGTGGCGGACAAAAACCGCTGTCTTGTGGGCTGCGTCCGTGATGAATAAAGTTGTTGTGACTGTGGACGAATAGGAACAAACTGGATCTTTCGGCGAACCGGAGAAGACTTGGCAACGTTAACGGCACCACAGTTCGGTTTCATGGGTGACAAAAGATCGCCAACGGCTGGCGATGACGCGGAAGAGGAAGAGGAACTGTTAATCCCAGATGCGTAGGCAGAATCGCACGACCCTTGATTATGATGGGCTTGGTGAAATATATCAGCGTTGATCACGGTAACAGCCCTTGAAGAGGGAGCTAGCAATGGAGGTAAAACTGAAGAAAGACTGGTTGCAGATGATCTGAAGGAGGTGGTAGAAGCGACGAGCGAAGGTTTCGTTTCCGCTCGATTGTGCGCCACCGTCTTCCCTGTTTGTTTAGCCGGACTAATAAGACGCAACGTAGAATCGCTAACCTTAGCGCTCGCCATCTGAACCCTGTCTTCCACAGTTGCTTGTCGGTATCCAAATGAGGGGTAGGATGTGGACGACGACCCATTGGACGACAATCTAGATCGAAAAGAAGCCGATACTTGCGAAGAAATTCTATCACTCGAGCACCTGTAATCCCCAGCGCTGACACCATTGGGTGAACGATTACACGATTTGGAATAGTCTGCTGCCATCCGGATCCCGATCGTTGTTTTACAGGTATCAACCGCAGTGGTGCCTGTTACGCTGTGCTGACTGTTCTTCCCGATACCACCGTTACTATGTGCAGGGCCACTACCACAACTACCACAACCACTGCTGTGTACAGGTTGACGTTTTTTCGGTTGATATTTGTAATTCGGGAACTCTAATTGATGGATTTTTACCAACCGATTGGCCTCTTCATCGTATTGGTTACGGTACTCGTGTGGGACAGTGCGCCAAAGATCCCCTAATTGTTGGCTGATCACAGAGTTTGATGCATCACTGAACACTCGCAGTACGTTGCGCCGGACATGTTGTGCAAAAAGCTGCGCGGTTGGGGAAGATAAAAGGAAACAAGTGAGGAAGCATTCTGAAAATGATATTTTAAGATTATTTACTAGAAGAGCGAATAACTGTTGGATTTATGTGACAGTCAGGAACGAACAGCATGCAGAAGAACGAGTAGATCTTAAAGGTAATCTAACAATTAGCATCCTTTCGGAAAAACACCACCCTGGCTGATGCGACATGACTGTCTTACTGCGTGGTATATCCAATCTTGTGCATATGTGATGGTTTCATTTCGTTATCCACAGTCATGTACAAGGACTTTTCCGCATCCTGAAACTTAAAAGGGACTCGTTACTGTGGTACTACTCGCTAAAACCTGAGGAAAATCGCTCCTGCATTTAAACAATAATCACCGAACGCTATTAAATTGCTGCGGGTTGATTGACTCCTCCAGTTCGGAAGATCCGAAGACTGGTTGGCGGAAAATTTTACGGCCGACCGACAATTCAGTCACTCAGCCAAAAACGTGCTTAGCCTGTGGGGTTGAAATGTGACCACCATCACATGGCCTCACGTCAGGAAGAGGACCCGCATAACCGCATGTCAAAAACGTGATTTTTCTGGATACGGACAACAGTTGTTTGACTGCCAGAACGCATAACTGAAACGTGACTCTGGACTTCTGCTGAATTCTTCGGTGGTTCCGTGTGAACTCAAAGCAGATGGGTAAGTTGCAAATGCAATTCTCGCATCTCCGTGAGTAACATCTGCTGAACAGCTTGAAGCCCAAGAATGATTGTGTATAGAGAGCGGGAGAAGCTGCTCCGCAGTTATGAAAGTCCCACAAATCTTGAGGTCATATCAGAAAAGCAATGAGGTTAGGCATAGGAGGAGCTGTTACTAAGGCTACTAATGTGGACCTTGCTATGCACACGAAGTCGAGCAAAATCTCATTACCGGAAATTCTAAAAATGTCTAGTACAATGCTGTATTTTATTGACTTGCGAAAGGTTAGACAGTGCCGAAACCAAACAACACATTGGTCTTCACTGATCAGAAACACTAGCACCGCTGATAAAATGAATTGCGTACAGGCGTGATCGTGTAGTTGCTCCAGTGTAGTATGCAATATACGTCAGTGCGTCTACTGGGAGAAACAGTTGGACCACAAAGAAAGTTAGGTCCATAAAAGTCCCAGCGCCGCAGGATGAGAAAGTCCATCGAGTATGTTGGCCTTTTCTTCAAATTCGGTCTAATCGTTCACCA